TGTGACTTCCGTATCGGGAGCTCCGCTTTTAGGCAGTGCCTAAATATATATATTATTGTACATGAAAAAATTTACAAAAGAAAGGGACGAAAATATGTGAAATATTTAACGCATAAGCTTAATATTTTATGAAATTCGTTCGTTCACAACCAACTATATTCAAAGCGATTTTGGTTTCAAATACATTCAATTCAAAAAGTTTTTTCCTATTTTAAACGAAAAATTGGCTATATGTTTATTGTAAAAAATGTTTTTACTGTTAAAGACCCATTGCCACTTACCGTGATGCATCACAATTAGTGTACATTTTCAATCGTGTCACCACTGAAAAAACAATTCTATCCTTTTGAATAAACTCTTTAAAAAAATGTAAAAGAATCATTGTTGTGTCTTAGTGCTATGTCGGAAAAGGATTTAATATGAAGTTATTATTCAATATATGAATCTTTGAATTTCATGGACCACGAAATTCATCTGTGAACGCGGTGCATCACGGTAAGTGGCAATGGGTCTTTAAGTAAATCTGAATCACTATGAATGAAGACATATGGATTGGCTGACTTTGCAGCTAACTGGAGTTACATATTGAAAAAAAATATACCTGACAGTTAATTGTTGAAAGTGTTCAGAAAACTTTGCGGCTCTGCTTGGGATCTTGTAGACCTAAATATTGCGTAAACACCTACTACATCGTGTTTTATAATGGTCTTGCTCATAGTCTTTTTCATTTCTGTTTTAGTTTTTGCTTTACTTCGGCAAAGAATTGCTCGCTCGAGTATTTCCTTTAGATCGGCTGGCTCTTTTTCCTCAATTCATGTCTTACTTTGTTTTCTTCTCACTATTTCTTCGATATATTCAATAACGATGTACTTTTACTTGTATTTTCTTTTTTGAACTGTTTTTTTAGTTGTTTGATAGTAAAATTTTTTTAAATCTTTGCTTACTTTCACTTAAGATAAAATGGCTGCCATTTTCCCCCTGGATTTGCCTCAAACTTTTCTCAAATTTTTCGTGATAAAAATCTGTTATCTTATTGGCTAAAATCATTTTCTATTGTTTATTATCCAATCGAAAACGAGAATTCCGTTTGTAATTTGCACTGTATTACACTTTTCTGCACTGAATTACACTTTTTTGCACTTAATTACATTTTAACAACACTGCTCTAAGCCAATCAGGATTGAGTAATTCTTTCATGTATGCTATTATTCAAAATAATATTCAACGAATATGGACATAATGCTTTCAAAGTCACATATTAGAAGCTCTACAAGAACATTTCAATATATGTTTGAACGCATGTCGAAAGATTGCGCTTTGAAAAGCATACAAAAAAGGGTTGATACCAGCTTCTGAGAAAAACAAAATGGCGGCTATTTTGTAGTAGCTTCGGTAAGCTCTTTCATTGAAGTATTTCATGGTTATTAAAACTGCAAACGGCAGAAGAAACACAGCGAATACTAAGGTTACTGTTAGAGAAAGTTTTACAACGCGACGTTTGCGCTGATTACGAAGTCTTTCTGCCGCCGAATTGCTTGCGAGGTTCTGTTGATTTTTCTTGAAGTACATTTCTCGGACGATGTGAAAATACGAGAAACCAGTGATAGCAAAAGCTATAACGACAACGAATAAAATCAAAAAGACTTGGTACGTCCTGGAAACTGCTCGCGTCCAATATGAGGTATGACGACAGTCTTCTGAAGATTCTTTATAATAAGAATTAATATACATCGGTAGAGTAAGTAGAATTCCCACCACCCAAACGGAAACTATAGCATATTTAACGGTCCCCTCTCGTAGCCTCATCCCAATGTTCATCGGCTTGACAACAGCGTGGTATCTCTCAACAGAGAGTACAGTCAGTGTTAGTATGGATACGATGCTTGCCGTGAGTATGACATGGTAAGAGAAAACGAACATACAGAGAAAGTCTGCCAGCGAACCTTGGTTTGTGAAAGATACATATTTTGGGATCATTAACAAGGGAGAAAACACCAAGCTTGTTATGTCCGAAGTCGCTAAGTTAACCAAAAGAAAGTTTGTTGTCGAGTGCAGAGATTTCTTTCGCCAAACGGCCACTACCACTAGAATGTTACCAGCAATACCAATAAAAAATACAAAGGATCCTACGGTTGCTATCATCAAATCCCTTGAGTTTTTGGGATCCACTATGTTTTCTCTCATTTTGCTCGTGAGTTCTGAAATAAATTCCTTTAACAAGCCTTAAGAATGTTCTTGTTACATCGCCAACAAGATAATAAACCTTTAGAAAACTCGCAAAATTAATCTTCAATTTTATTTTTATGAAAGGGATTATTTTCACAGAAAACAATGACTTTTGTGGGATGTTATTATTTCTTTTGTATTTGTCCATAAGTCTTGCAAAAATAATAATCTTATAGGGTTTCACTATGCCAATCAAACCTCCAACAACCAAACTTACTCTCTGTTGTTCTTTTTTTATGCAGGATATAATTAACGAGAGGGAGACTTACTTCCTTGAAGATTAGTGCTTTGGTTCTTTTGAAATAAGTATCAATCTATGAAGCTTTATTAAAGTCAGGGGTGGAAACAAGAAGGACAATTCATCATTGCCTTAAGGGGGATACTTACTTCATTGAAGATTAGCACTTTGGTTGTTTTTAAATAAGTATCAATCTATGAAGCTTTATTAAAGTCAGGGGTGGAAACAAGAAGGACAATTCATCATTGCCTTGAAGTAATGAGATGTAATGAAGTGTCTCGAAGCACTGGCACTTCAGCTGTGAAATACTTATTCTATTAGACATACGTAAACAGTCTTTTAACTTCCAGCAGCTCTATGTTGCTTCTTTAGCTCTTCAATCTATGAGGTATTTATAGCATTCACCAATAACTGCAAGATTTGGTTCTTGCCCCAACCTTCACAGTTTATAAAAATGAAGGTACCAATGTTAAATCATTAGTGATTTTTGCGCAATATCTTAACAATGAAGGGAAATGACTTCATCAATAAAAAAAGGAAAACAACTAACTCCTGGAAGCATACTGAGGAGAAAGATAGCTAGCAGGAGCTATAAGAGCTCCAATTTTTGAGCCATCTTTGTAAAATTGGCTTATAGCCTAAAAACAAACAAAAAAGCAAAAAAGGAGAAGAAGTACAGATTATTTGATATTGTTGATCCAAAAGGTAACGTCTTGATCTCGTATCGCAGCTCCACCAATTGATATAAGTACAACTGAATTACTATCTTATTTCCCTCGCTGAAAATCCACCTCTATTTTGGCCTCATACCATTCTGATTTAAAATTTAGCTTAGTAATTTATCCTGGTTTTTTAGCTTTGTTATTCAGGCAAATGAGCGTATAAGTGGAACAGTTTTTTATTTTATTTTGTATTTTTTTAAGAAGATTTTACAATACCTCTTGATATAATTTGACCCCGGCGTGGATGATGGAATCTTCTGTAAGTTATTTCTCTTTCAATGTCATCACCTCTTTCTACTAACATTGTCAGAAATCGTATGTATAACTCATGCACTGACAAGGGTAACACAAAGCAATTTAGTTATGAAGATATGAGAAGTTACGGTAGGTGTTATCAACTTTGCAATATCATTCGTGACGACAAGAAAAGGTTGCGTAACGAAGACAAATATTTGCCATTATCTAGCTCCAAGATAGATATTGAACAATAAAGAATAGCAGCATGGCAAAGTTGTTTTGGTTATAGATGAGATTTAAAAAACACATTACTACACATAATTGACCACTTTTGTTGTAAAATTGACAGGCTTTTCAAATGAAAAACCCTGACGGTCAGCTCTTTATACTAAAATTTCGAAAAGATGGTCTTTTGAAAACTGAAATATCAAGGCATGCACTTGGGAGGTCGAATTCAAATCCATTATGCTCGCGTCTAATTTTCCAAATAGTTTAATTTTGAAAAGAAAAAATCAAATCAAAAGATTTCAAGAGCGAAGGTCCACTAATAATAAACATCGGCCGGACACAGTCAAAATTTCACTTATCGATTTTCAGTAACAGCATATTTCGAAAATACCCATTGTTCACGGCCTCCGTATGAACCCTAAATACAATAACCCAAGGTGATTTTTCGATATGTTCTAGAAGAACATCTAAATAGTTCTTGACGTGAATTTCATTGAGAGAAAAACTTGGAGCACTTGATTATTTTTTCCCCCGTAACAGGGGTCAGAACTATGTGTGAATACCACTCAATTCCAAATATCATCTGACCTCTTTCAATAAATAGCTAAAACTATATTTTATACCCAATCAAGTCTCAAACATCTCTTCTATCAATTTATAAACGTATAATTTTATATCTTTTTCCTATTCTGTATGCGTTAACTGAAAATTTGCATACGTTTGAGGTCGACAATAGGCCAACAGTTTTTATTTTATTTTATTTTTCTCGATTTTGCTCGAAAATAGTGGACATCTGCTCTCAACCTTTCAATGAAATGTTTTTAACCATTATATTTATTAGATGTAGCCTATGGAAGTAATCGAGACATTGGTGCTTATGATTTATTTTGTTACTTCACGTAATAATATAACCCATTCAATAAAGCAATTGATTGTCAATCACGTTCAAGAATCAAAAGCGTATGAAGCCATCCATTAAGATATATGGCGGAAGCAACTACAAGCTGAATAACTATTGAAAAACAAAGACTGCCCCTGGCTGAGCTTTATTTAAGATGATGTGGGAGGATACGATCGACAACTAATTATCTTCCAGTAAATCTTGCTGTAACAGACATTGTGAGCTCAACTTTTTCACCTTTATTGTTGGATGAAAATATGTCCCATTACAAAAGGACTTTTCTAGGATTTTTTAGCTTGTGCCCCCGCTCTGTAACTCAGACTCAAGTCGACTCTTAAACCACATTCGTCCATTACAGTACATCTCTTTTTATCTATCTCATTGATAATAATAATTCAATCACTTATTGTGCGTGCATTCCATACAATGATTATGCGGGCATTACAATAATAATATAATATATTAGCATATACCAACTTGTGTACTTCCTAAAAACGCGCGCTTATTGGTTAATTGGAGGTGAATATTCACCTCTGAATCTCGGAATATTGAGTCGGCAACAAAATGGCATCTGCCGGCAATCGTTTTGCTACAATTTCCGATGAGGAAATTGAAAAAATGAAAGTAAATGTCATTCCTATCAATACTAAAAAAGCAACGAAGTATGGCCTAAATGTTTTGCTAAAAATTTTGCGAGAATTTGTCACCAAACTAAAAGTTTCTGTTTGTTTGTTTTTTTGAATTATTGTATATAAAAATAAGTTACTCTGTACACAAGTTGGTATATGCTAAAACAATTATTCGCCGAAGCTCGAAGACTCGCGTCTCGGTAAATATTCCCCGATATTCACTTCGCCTTCGGCGAATAATTGTTTTAGCATATACCAACTTAATAATATAATAATAATTGCTAAATATATATAACTATATAACTATTTACAAATAAGATGAATAAATATATATTGATAAATACTAAAAAACTATCAAAATGCTGATTTAAAAAGGTGGGTTTTAAGATGTCGCTTAAACAAACTAACATCTTTAACGGCGCGAATGTCTGCGGGAAGTGCATTCCAGAAAACGGGTGCCGCCACAGCAAATGACCTGTCCCCCAATGTTTTCCTGATCTTGCGATCAAATGGGGCAAGTAATAACCTTTACTAGTTCTTAAGTTATAACTCCCCTTATCCTTTATGTTGATAAGCTCAGATGTGTAATCAGGTGTGATACCATTAATAGCTTTGAAAACAAAGAGCAAGATCTTAAATTGCGTACGTTCTTTCACTGGTAGCCAGTGTAGATCAACTAATAGTGGTGTAATGTGACAATAACGAGGTGCGCAACAAATGAGTCTCGCGCCAGCGTTAAAAACGTATTTTATTAAGCTGGCATGTTGGAAGACCATACAATAGGCTCCTGTTGCAGTAATCAAGACGTGATGTTATAAAAACATGAAGAAGCGTAATAGCATCATCTTTGCTTAAGAACTTGCGTATTCGACTTATATTATGTAGATGGTAGAAAGCTGCGCCGAAGGTCTTGTTTATATGAGCAGACATACTTAGCGTTGAATCAAACCATGCGCCTAAGTTTCTTACGCACGATTTAGAATTGACTACTTCATTACCTATAGTAATTCTGTCGATGTTAACTTTTGAAAGTTGCTGTTTATCTCCAATTAATAAAAACTCTGTCTTATCCTCGTTCAACTTTAAATGATCGTTAGCCATCCAGGTATGAAAGTCATCGATGCAGCTACGCATTGCATTGATTGCGTTGTCGTTCTCGCCTGGTGTGAACAGTGAACGTTTGGAAGGTGTTTTTCTACTATATCAAACAGCTTGCTTAGTGTATATCGTGAACAAAAGAGGTCCAAGACAGCTGCCTTGTGGTGCCCCATGTTTGATTTTGAAGATATCTGAGATTCCTCCGTTAACAGCAATACGTTGACATCTGTTAGTTAGATACGAGGTGAACCATTCCAATGCATCTTCTACCACTCCAAACCTGACATCAGCCGATGTAAAAGAACAGGATGTTTTGATGTTTTGATGTTTATCAATTATCAAAACATATAATGTTTTGCACAGGGAGCTCACATCAACGTTTAGGAGACATTTTATGAATTTTTTAAAGGAAATTTATCCGAGGAGTCCGATTAGAGTTTCATCCCTTGTCTTTATATAGTAGTATAGGGGATGGGGGTTCCAGCGCAACGACCACCGGAGGATTACCCGTCTAAAGTGAATTCCCCGATTCGTACCGCGATTACCCGCATCCCGTGTTTATGTAGTTAAATATGTTAGTCTATATATGGAGTGCGAAGAATGTAAGA